AATAAGTGGAATAAGTGTGCAAAAATATTTAAATTTTATTTTCGGATCCTGAACAAGACCGCCGCCAGAGCACGTCTCCCCGTTACCTGCAGAAAGAAGCCATTCACGCAACGCAGCCCCGCTCTCTTTAACTCCTGGTGACTTTCTGCCACTTTCCTCCGTGGTGCAGGGCTGATCGTTTCACCACAGAGGAAAGCACTTCACAAATTGCAGTACCCATAAGGAGCTGTACAAATGCCGCAGTTTTTTCATGGCTGTGTCTTTAGTTGAAAGCCCAGTGGCGATCTGCTCATCTCTCATCGAAATAATATGCTACAAAGGGGCGGACTGGCCATCTGTGTGTTGAACTTTCCTGTCGGCTCCCAGACCGTAGTCGAGGAAACAGGGGGGATGACTCTCTGTCGTCTCCCAGGGCAGAAGCAACAAGCTTCAGGTTCAATAACCCACTTTAGCTTAAATGACTGGAGAGAGGCGAGCTCTTCTTGGGAGCCCGTTGTTCTTCTGTTTCACAAAATACATCACAGACCTCTGTTTTTCTGCTGCCTCGTTTCACTTCCAGAAACATACACACGCTCGCTCACTCTCGCTCTACCATCCACACACACACATGCACACGCCACACCCCTCTCTCTCTCTCTTAAAGGGACAGCGATCTCATCTCACTCTGCATGACCCTAATATCATAACATGTGTGTTCTGGAGAATCACAGAATGGACGATCGTCCTTATTATTATTATTATGCCGTTTAAACCAATTATTTAAATGTGTTTGTTAAACTTGGCATCATGTAAGTTGCGCTGACAGGTCCACACACTGCTTCCCCGCAGCGAGGCTCCTCACCCCCCCCCCCCCCGTTGATAATTCACAATCGTCGGCACGCTGATAACAATTTTTTTTTGTAATGGCACTTCATATCAAAAAGGTTGCCGACCCCTGTTCTATATGGTTCTATTCTATTCTTTTGTATTGTATTTTATATATTCTGCTCTATTCTATTCCATTCTTTTAAACCAAGTCGTATTTATCTTTTAATGACTTAGAAAGGGTTATTAACGCTTTTGTAACCTCGAGACTGGACTATTGTAACGCTCTGTATGTGGGTATGGACCAGGCCTCAATTAAACGCCTACAGCTAGTCCAAAACGCTGCTGCACGTTTGCTGACTGGCCACAAAAAGCGTGACCACATCACCCCTATTCTGGCCTCACTACACTGGCTTCCAGTTCGGTTCAGAATTGATTTTAAAATCCTTTTATTTGTTTTTAAAGCACTAAATGGGCTGGCTCCGGCCTATATAGCTGAACTGCTCCAGCGCTACACCCCAGCCAGAGCTTTAAGGTCTGCTGACCAGCTGCTGCTGGTAGTGCCCAAGACCAGGCTAAAAACCCGAGGGCACCGAGCCTTCGCAGCAGCTGGCCCTAGGCTCTGGAACACTCTGCCCCTCCATGTGAGGTCGGCCCAGACCCTAGGGGTTTTTAAATCAAAACTAAAAACACACTTCTTCTCTCTGGCTTTCTAGTTAGAGCGGAGCACGACTCCTGACTTTTCTGTGTGTTTTATTTTTATTTTGTTTTTAAGATATATCTGTTGTAATTTATTGTCGTTTATTGTGATTGTAGTAATGTGTTTTTATTACATGTACAGCACTTTGGCTCGACCAAAAATCGCTTTTAAATGTGCTATATAAATAAAACCTGATTTGATTTGATTTGATTTTATATTCTAATTTATTCCTCCTCTTTTTCCTTCTACTGTTTGCTCTCCATAGGCAACTTTAGGCAATCTTACATTATAATCTCAACCAGGTCTGGTGCATTTAACTCAACCAGGTTTTAGTAATCACATTTTATCTCCTAAGTATTTCATGCCTATTTGCCTTCACTTCACAAGCTTTAGCACTTTAGCGTTGGAATGTTCTGGATTTGCTAATATTAATAAATATTTCATCAGCAAATAATCATTTTGCCAGGGGTTCAAGGGCAAGGATAAAAATACAAGGTGATGCCAGACAACCTTGGCATATATACCATTAAAGATGGAATGTAAGAGATATTCCATTTGTTTTTAATTTTGCTAATTAAAATGTTAATGTTTCAGTTAATTCATCGTTATTATTCTGAGATAGTTGTAGACAGAGAAGAAGAGAAAAGAGCATTTAAAATATCCAGCCATCAGTTTTTGAGACTCCCAGTCATGGGTTTAAGTGTTGGTCAATGGGTGCATTGATTGTGACAGGTCGTTATATGTGTGTGTGTGTGTGTGTGTGTGTGTGTGTGTGTGTGTGTGTGTGTGTGTGTGTGTGTGTGTGTGTGTGTGTGTGTGTGTGTGTGTGTGTGTGTGTGTGTGTGTGTGTGTGTGTGTGTGTGTGTGTGTGTGTGTGTGTGTGTGTGTGTGTGTGTGTGGGGCTCAGGATGAGGGTAGGCTGGAAATCCTAGATGGGAGCACTCAGGCAGCACAGGGCGGATTATAGCTGTGAACATCAAATTGTCTTACGTAACACATTGTAGTGCAGACCTCAGCCACCAGCAGCTGTTACGCAATGCACTGACCTGGGGAGGGGGAGACATGTCTGCACATGTGCACACACATACAAACATAAATACAGACACGCACACCAGGCATCCACAAATACATATATTTTAAAAATGTTGCTGCTATTAAGAACATATAACGCTGCAGCTGAACTGGCTGACAATATTACTTTATATACGATACATACGTATTTGTCAAGCAATGTAACAATTGAAACATTTTTACTAAAGTAATGTATGGTCGTTGAATAAATTCAGTGTGTTTTATCTGCTGAAATGTAAACGGCTGACGGTCCACCATCCAATTTACACAAGTGTGATACGAAACCTGAAACCTCCAGTGATAATACACTGAGAATTTACTTTTTAACTTCATGGTTAATTTAGAGACATCATGGTTTAGTAGATGAACTTTTATAAATATAAAATATTTCTAAATTCTGGACTTGTCAAAGAGAGATGTAATTTTCTAATCATAAATCTAAACACCAGAAGCAAAATGCTAACGTTATGCTATAAAGAACTGCAGCCGAGTACAGCAGGGTCGCACGACTTCAACGTCACGCCAACTTAAGATCGATATTCAAAAATACCGATTCAAAATCTTACAAGTTGAAGCGTTTGTTTTAACAGTTTGCAAGAGTGCAGGTACTTGCTTTCAAGCAGAACAGGGGCAAACAAACTTAGCGGGAGTGTTTACGTGTTCGGCGTAATGACGTACAACGTCCTCGACAACTTCTGTAGTCCTATTCAGCCACTTGTTAACAACCATCGTAAACTCTTCAAAAATCACCAGTGGGGTCACTGCTGATGTATTTAATGTCGTAGAACAAAACGTGATCCGTCTCTTAAATTTGTGTCAAACACAAACCTTATTTCGAGCTATTTTCTAAAATTCCATGGAGAAATCCCATTGGCTCTGAGACGAGGGAACCGGAAGTGGTCAAATGCTAACTCACTTCCGGGTTTTAGGACTCATCACTGCACCACTCTATTGGACTCCTTTCTTTACTTCTGTAACATTGTGACATCCCTATGTAACACTGCTATGCTAAGGGTCAGGACATCTCTAAGCTGTTGGCCAATCACAACAGAGCCGGCCAGTTAACCAATCAGAGCAGACTGGGCTCTGGTTTCAGACCAAGCCCCCAGAAAGTATGCCAGACGTTACTACCAATTCTGTGTCAGTCTGTGACATTAATGGGCCCAAAACACTTTTTCCCATTGACTTAAATTGGGAAAGAGACGACTGTAATTCAGCAGATACATTTGCACTAAGTCAACTACCAAATGGTACATTCCAACAGCGCTCCTAGTTTATGAATGTACCAGTTGCTTGGATTGACATTGAAAAATGGTGGTTAACCGTAATCAGACAGTGGCGTCCTGCTTTGAAATACAACATCTTGTTAATTTATCCATGTGGCACAGCTCCCTCAGCGAGTTGGACCCAGGTGCCCCTCAACAAAAACACACCTGTTTGCAATCCTGGCTCCATGGAGGCACAAGCTCTCCATTGATATGAGGACAGCAGAAAGTCTACACATCTTCCGTTGCAGACTGAAAACCACCTGTTTCCAATACAGCTTGGCCAAAAATAAAATAAAAAACCTTCTTACGTCTGTATGTACCACTCAAGTGATTGGCCTGTTTGAAGCCATTGTAGCAATACTTTCAATGGTTTGGCTTATCCAAAGGATTCTGGCTTTATTCGGTTTGTATTTTGCGATTGGATGCAATGTAATGTCAGGGAATGGGATATATAAGAAGTCTATACAAACGGTATGTAAATACAAGTCCCAACAATGAAAGCTACTATGAAAAGTGGAAATCACAAAAGGAAATACATTGAGAGGCTATAATAGCCATGAAGAGTATATAATGGGGTTTAATATACATATCATGAGGATTATTACATTAAGCTTAAAGAACAGTTTGCATTTAGCAGTTATACATGCTCTTATATCTGACAGCAGCAGTTTAGTTTTACTCCGATGTTACGTGATTTGTTCTGGCCTTATAATAAATACATATGAATGTGACACTAAGTGAAATGCATTCCACCGACAGCTTTACATTATGTGATTCCTCTGGGAATATGAAAATGTTATCAGATCCAACAACTCATAAAAAAAACCTTGATGTTGGGCTCATTATGGGATGTATAAGTTGCATAATTAATTGGAATTGTTGTTTTGTTTCTGAATACTTTGCTTTGGTTGTGTTTGTGGGGGAAACTTCTGAAGCAATTGGAGTCAGGACTCAGAGAGACACGAGGAGAGCTGGAGCTTTGATGGCAAACACTGACAGTTTATTTGGAGCTTCGGCCAGGAGAATTCACAAGACATGTCACAGGCCACGGTTTGACCACACGGTTGAGATGCCACAATCAATTCTGAAGAACTCTTCTGTAGTTCGAGGTTTTAACTAGTTCAGAGTGTAATCATCAACATTCTTTATCAGCGAGACTAAACAAATATGGACCCTGAATCTAACTAGAGCTGTCGTCCATAGAAAAGAATGTGCGCCAGGGAACCTACGTTCCTAAAAAGAAGGGCTTCTAGATGTCCCTGAACAATAAACTATCTCATGTCTCATAAGCTGGCAACAACAATGCGCCCAAGCTGCCTCTCCTTAAGAGAGATAGCAGCAATACCCAAGGCCGTAGACCTGTGCCATAGGAAAAGAGACAGTGAAAGGAGAAAATGATGAACTGTGTCAAAGGTTGAATACCTAAGCAAATTATTCCCTAACAGTGTTGGCTTAGAAACTGAGGGTCAATGTTCCTTTTCTACTCTACTTGTACTTAAAAAGCTCAAGAAACAGGCACAGCATCATGTTAAAATATATTTAATCACAAACTTCAATAGATACATAAAGCCGTTATTTAATAAAAGCGGGATCTCAAACGAGTGGTGCCACAAACGCTTAAAAAATAACTTGCTGTTTATGAGTTTACTTATTAACGGTATAAGGATTGATGGGACGCACATTGCTGCCGCCTGCTACAGAGAGATAAAGTCACTGAATCTGCATGTACTTCTTGTTGAGTCTACTCAAAAGATAGAAAGTGGAGAAAAATGAAAGATTGTCCTCTGTGCTGTAGACAAACTGCTTCTGAGGACAGAGACGATGGAGGTGGATTTGATGTGGATTGAGTTTCCCAGCAAGATAAAAAAAAAAACATGATCAAGCAGATCCAGGAGCCTCAGAGGATCACCTGGACCAGGACGGAGTCTCCAGGATGTGTCAGGGTTCATTTGGCTGTCTGATGTGATGTCATCAGTGGGGGTTGCTCAGCACTCCATTGGTCATAGAGAGTTTGCTCCACCTCCTCTGACTGAGGAGTTTACGGTTTTGTTGAACCTGAACTCGAACATCAAACACCTCCTGGATGGCCTTCTTGAAGCAGTGGAAGTTGTAGTCAATCAGTCCTGTGAGGGACGAGAAGACAATTACAGGGTAAGACTGAATGATCTTTGTAAAACATGTTTTAATTATTGTAACACTTTATTATATCCTACTGTCCCTCTAGGGTAGCGGTTCCCAACCTTTTTCAACTCAGGGCCCACTTAAGAATCACATTTCTTTTCACAGCATGCATTCAACCATAAACAATACGGAGGCTATATAAAGTTCTGATTGGTCAATTCAGAACATGTGACACGTTGTAAATCCTGTAGAACAGACCGCTGTCAAGGACTGTAATGACCGTTGCTAAGGAGGATCAAGAAACAGAAAGGAAAAGAGGTTAAAATAGAAAAAAATCTTAATAATGAAAATGTTTCCACACAAATCATAATGTTTTGCAAATTATTTGGCGGCAAATATTGAATTTACATTTACACCCTTTAATATGTTATTTGGGCTTTTAGATGAAGACCGCACACAGTTAATAAATACAACTATTCTTCTGGCTAAAATACATATTTTTAAAAGTCAATCAAGGAGTAATCCTAATATGTGACCTGCTCCATCGAAATCAGTCGCATTGACCCGAAGACACATTTTGAGTTGTATACACTGTTGGAAAGAGGAGATTCCTAGCTTTCTAATGATATCAGGATTGTTTTTGTACTCCAAATATTAAGCGAAATATGTCACATTATATAATGACTGTTACAGAGTCATCATTTTGAGAAAAAGGCCTTCAAAGTTTCCTCTTCTCTGGAATCCATCGATCTGATTGATTATTAGCAAATGATCAAAATACTACGGAGGGAAAATATTTTCGTTTGGATTACTGGTCTGGGGGAAGCTCGCGAGTGTGTGTGTGTATACGTGTGTGTGTGTGTGTGTATTTTTGCGTTTGTGTGTATTGTGTTTGTTTCCCGGAGAAAACACTCACGAGAAACACCGGCTGTTGTTATGCCTGCTGTGACGTCAAGTTACTCCGTTCTCTGCTTGTAAATATGCCGTTACAAGCTTCAAAGTTGTATTTATCATCTGAATTTGCCGAAAGAAGTTTAATATTCTGAAAGCCAAGACTTTGTTTAATTGAAATCAGATGAAAACAAACTGTAACGGACCCTGCCGTGTTATCTATGATTACTATGCGCCTTACATTCATAATTTCAGCCGGAGGGAGGGGGGGGCGGCGCTACGGAAGAGCAGATAGCGAGTGAGAGGTGCCTGTCATCTTCCCTTTACAAGCTTCAAACATGTATTTATCGTGTGATTTTGGAAATAAAAGTTTCATATTCTGAAAGCCAAGACTTTGTTTATTTAAAATCAAACAAAACACCCGAACCCCGAAAAACTAGTTTTTTACGCAAATCCACGTTTATTTTGAGCCGTTGCGACTTCCGACTGATTTTGATAGAGCGGGTCACATTTAAGGTGTTTGAGGAGTAGATTAAAAATACAATTTATTTTGGAAAAGATTATTGCCATAAAAGATCAAAGGGTGACTGAACACGCCATGAATTGGGAAATAATTAGCTCTAACGAAGAGTGGGATTAAAGGAACAATAAATATGCTTGCCATGTTTTTCTTTTTTGGTATTTGGTTGTCAACCTATTTTAGTTTGTGAAATGTTGAAGTGGTCCTACTGACTGTATCTTCATTTCTTCAGTTTTTGTTTTGTTGTTGTCTGAGATGGGAAGAGCTTTGTATTTTTCTTGTAGCCTTTTAATAAAGGTGTTTTCTGTGAAATCTGCATTTGGGTCCTGCCTGCTTCGCTCAACCCTGACAGAACAAACCGAGACGTATGGTGTCAGGTAGGGAATTGGGAGGCAGGGGGCTAGCATGCCTGGGGCTAGCAGGCCGGGAATCACATGTCGAGAGGAAGTCCAGAATCCAGTCAGGTAAGAACTTAACTAAACATGGCTCCTCTGTTGCCACCTGGTGAGCCTCTGCCAAAGCAGCCTCTTTCTGCTGAACACTGGACGCTCCCCTCGACCTTCCATAGCAGCAAGCCAAAGAAAAGGTAAAATTAAGTAACTCCACCTCAAATGGATCATCTGCTGGGTCCATTTCTGTTAGATCCTTCTGTCAGGGTTGAGCGAAGCAGGCAGGACCCAAATGCAGATTTCACAGAAAACACCTTTATTAAAAGGCTACAAGAAAAATACAAAGCTCTTCCCAGTGAACACAGTCAACGACAAACAAGGAACTAACCAAGACAGACAGAAAAACCAGAACTTAAATACACACAGGACTAATCAAAGAAACAAGAGACAGGTGAGGAGGGAGGAGAAAACACAGGGACACCAGGTGAACACAATCAGGAAAACAGGTAGGAGGGAACAGGTAGGAGGGAACACACAGGGTGTTTCTCAATCGAGAGTACGCTTGCTTGGTAGCACATGTCTGCCGAGCATCTTGCTTCAGAAGCGAGTCAAGAATACTTCCTGGCATTTGGAAAACAAAGAGTGGAACACGCTAGCAAGTGTGCAGGTGTGCGTCATATGAGAGGCCCCACCTTACATCTTCCGCCACAGATTTGGGGAAATTGATCCGTGCGCAAAGCATTGTGGGGATTTTAAGACCGCGGAGTCTACTCATGTGCAGACTCGATATTTCTCCAAACGGAGTACGCCGGGCTCGGTAGATTTCCAAGTATGCTGGAGATTGGAACAGTACTTCGGCGGCACTCAATGACGTAGTATGCTTGAAATAGTGGCTCTGCAGCAGCTTTACTCGCGATTGAGAAACACCCACAGACAGGAAACCAAAGACAGATCTAGACAAGACAAAACACAACACAGACAGATCGTGACAGGAGATCCTAAATCCACCTACACGTTACCATTGAGAAGTGAGAGTGATGCGCACGCAGCTCGCCCAATGTTACGCTCTGAAAACTGAAAACTGAAAACTAGGCTTATTGATCATAAATATGATGATGGATTATCAGTAATCATTTCAAAGTGACACAGAGACATTGGATTAACCTTCAGCAGCGTTTTATGCGTTTTAATGCCATTGAACACAACTTTTGATCAGACAACAGCAAAGGTAAGACCTATTTGCCGATTTGGCCCCGTAAAGCTAAGTTGTGTGTTGTCTGGTTTTGCATTCGCTGCCGCGAGTTTTGATTGCTCAGTGATGATACTTATACCATTGGAATCTCAGCTTTCAGAGGATATCTTGTGCAGATCCGATGAAGTATAAAAGATCCCTAACGTGAGTTATGTGCTAAGTGCGTTAGCATTCTTTCTCTTAGTGCTAATTCAGAGGCTCGGCGTTAGACTTGTGTTTTATTTCGGTAAAAATTGTTAATATTGTCTGATAGCTGAGTTTCTTCCCGTTAAGTGGGTATGACACATTCATAGTTTGTTAAATGTTAAGAAGCCCTCAGACGCTGTTTCTTGCAGATGTTGCGTTTTTGCCCCCGCCCGCAGGTCCGTGGGGCATAACAGGTTAAGAAGCCCTGAGACACAGCCCCATAGCCCCCGCCGGCGGCACAGGTTAACTGTGGGGTTTCTTTGAAAGTTTTTTATTGTCCGATGTGAGGGTCCAGGGACAGAGGGTGTCAGGTTCATATTCTGTACAAACTGTAAAGTCCACTGAGACAAATGTAAAAGTTGTGAAATTGGGCAATATGAATACACTTTGATTGATTGATTAAAACACACTGACAGTTCCTATAATGCATTTAAATGTACTGATTGTAAACGGACTGACCTTTCCTCTCAAAGCTTTCCTTGCGAAGGAAGCAGACCATGGCGAGGAACTTGGTGACCTCCTTCAGGTACATGACTGTAGTGTTGTTCAGGTGGATGATGGCCATAGACTCCTTGTCATAGGGTAAACCAGCTTCACTGTCGGTGAGACTGAAGGACAGGAGACACAAAAACACACTTCACACTTCATGTACTTAGGGCAACACAGCTAATTTCACAAAGAATGAATATTGGCTGCTGATAGCACCATACATTTTGCTCAATTTGCTCCCACCGTCTGCCCTGCCTCCAGGTCCAAATTACAAAACAAGTTGTGCTAATGATGCACTGCCAGCACAGCCATTAGGTTTGGTAGCTGAGTGCAATTTGCTCTTTTTTGCGAGTGAAACTTTCAATGAGACAAACAAATAAATGTTTCCTTTGTGCCAAGAAAACAGTAGGCAGAGAGGATAATAAAAATGAAATATTCCGAGCAAGCTGCAGATCTGGACCGACGAGGTGTAAAGCTATCCCTCAAAACTTCTGGCAAGGAATTTAAATGAGACAGGCTGACAGCCTATTTGGAATTTAACATCGTAAACCTTCACTATAAATGCGCTTAGATGACCCGCCAACCCTCTGAAGATGCTAATAATATAACTGTGTCTCTGTTTGGCTGTTAGGACAGATCTGTGTGAATTGGACGGTTTTAACAATGAGGCTCATTTGCATAGAAAGGGGCCAATATTGCACCAAACGTCTGCATATTACCTCATTTAAATAGATTCAAATAGCGCAGGAGCATCAAAACTCTATTTGCTCGGCAGCGCAGTCAGAGGTTCCTTTTACCCATGGAGGTGATTGGAGAATCACACTTTTTTGTCTTATTTATGCAGCTTGAGCAGAACCATCCTTTTGTGGATTTGCTGCTCAGTGTGACATTACAGCAGGGAAGCACACAGACCTCTGATTTTACTTATGAATTTAAGGATGTAAAGAGCAAAGTGGAAAGGGAAGAGACAGAGAGTGAAATTGAATCAGTGGTATAAGCAGATAGGAGACTGAGAATAAAAACAACATGCAGAGGAGAACACAGAGAGAAACAATGAACATGCTGTTTTTTCTTGCTTTTCTCTTCTAATTTATTCTGTTTTCTCAAAGAAGGCCAACAAACAATAGAACAAACATTTTTTTGTCTTATTTCTGAATATAAATGATGTCTTCCTGGTTTATATTTTGTGACCTTCTCTTTTTGAGCCACATGGGACTCTTCATTTTACAATATACATATGCAGGCCCACTGTATAGCATCCACTCAAACCCTAAAAAGCCAAACAAATGACAAAATAAATCATATTGTAAAAAGTCCCCTATTTCCCATAAAACAACTCCACAAGTGTTCAAAAGTATGACTGCTTGATACCAGGTTGTCGCTTTTACTTGTCAGAGCACATTTGCCAAAAGAGTATCCCTTTTTCAGTCTGAGTCACATAGGCTGCTAGTATGTTTTTCAAGGGTCATTTTCTAATGAATGGCAGCATTTACATGTCTAGTATTTGAGACAGTATGCTAAATGGTCGTTAGCCATCCCAGCTAGCGGGGAACGTTCTCACAACTTTGGCTAATGTTACCTACAGGTTCTAATAAGGTTTTAAAGAAACGTTTTAATCTGATGTTCAAAGAACCTTTTAAGGATGTTTATTTAAAAAAATAATGTTCCTATAAGGTTTAAGGTTAACTAAGACATAACGTTTTAACTGCAACATTCAGAGGATGTTTTGAGGATGTTATTAAGGCCTGAGATGACAGAAAGTGTTTTATAAAATGTTCCTTTAACCTGTTAAGCACCTAGCCTGTTTTTCATGTTTCAGGCTCGAAAATGACATGCCCAAAACAAATGACTACAACTTAACTTCTAAAAGGGTTATATGAATAATTTCTTTTATCAAAGCAAGGTTACATCTGTGAGTTGGATGTAGAAGTGTCAGAATCAATATAAATGTTTTTTATTTTAAAGAAAATTCAGATTTTACATAGTAAAAAACTGTAAATTATAGTGTCCGTCCAAAAATTATTTTTTACAGATAGTGAAAACTACCCTTGGATGATGGGTTAGTAGACTAATAGCTTTAGGAATCCAAAGTACAACATATAATAAGTACCCTGTATCAAGATTGATGCAAAACAAGTGACATTTGACCTTTTTAGAGAGGTTTAGCCAAAACCACCCCACCTCTGAGGTGATTTGGGTGAAAATGTTTTTTTTTTCTATATCTCTGGCCCCCCTTGCTCGATTTTGATGGTTGACACACCTTTCTGACCGTTAGAGCCAATAGAATCGAAGGTGGAGGCTCGCTATCCACCACAC